GACATTTAAAAATTTTTTATTAGTTGGGATCTTGGATCTTCTTCCCTTTCTCTTGATGAAGTCTGGTTTAAAGCAGGCATTTTGGTATCCTTTTGGAGAGGCGAAAGTTCCATAGCCTTTGAAAAGCATTTTAGAAATTGGTTCTTGAAAGCTATCAAGACTGACTCATCTTTGATCCCACTTACAGCACAGCAGCACTTTTGAGACCTTTGCTGACAGCCCATTGGTTGGCTTACGTTGGAATTATAGACGTGTGGGAGAATAATGCCCCCATTCTTCTTCATCATGTCTAATTCTAGAAGATACGCTGATAGGAAACCTTACCCTTTTCCATAGTAAAATGTAGCTACTCAGGAAGGATGAGGGGCACCATCATATCAGGTAACACTCATTCCAGGTATACTTTCTGAGGTAAAATTAATGCTGTTGCTGTTACTGCCTTTGACAACTGCCACCTGAAGTGTTTTAACATCTTTAGCCGATAACTCCCCTAAATTCAGTCTCCAGCTTCCTGCTTGATGTTTCCACTTGAATGTGATAATCGCTTTCTCAAATTTAACATGCCCCAAATTAGTTCACTAGTTTTCTTTTCATAACCACCTGCTTTTGAAGTCTTTCCTTCTCAGCGACAATTTAGTTTTTGTATTTCTTTAGGTCAGGACTCCTGACACCCTGTATTCAGTATATTGGGAAGTACTGTTACTTAGCTGTACCTTTAGAATATATGTGTTATCTGTCCACTTGTAACTGTCTTTACAGCTACCACTCTGGTCCAAACCACCATCTCTCAGCTGGCTTATTGTAATTTTGCAAATGACCTTCCTGTTTCTGCCTTTGCTCTCCCCCACAGTACTGTCTAAATAAGGCTACCCAAGTAATATCTTTCTTTCCTTCTGTGACTCTTAGTTTCTCTCAAAGTAGAAAGCTGAAAAGTCTTAGGATACGTAAGGTCCTACATGCCTGTTAGCCCTCTGTCCTCATCTTTTCCTGCTTTCTTGCCAGGCCACTCTTCTCTACCACACAAGCCTCATTGCTGTACTCAGAGATGTAGGCAGGCCTCCTTCCAACTTAGTTCCTACTGTTTGGTCAGAAACGCTCTTCCCCCAATTAACCGCATAATGATTTCCTCACCTATTCAAATATTTGCTCAAATATACTTTCTTAATGAAGCTTTTTCTGACTCTTTAAAAATAAGTCCCTTCCAATCTTGCATTTTCTGTACCTCTCTCTTGTTTTTCTTCATAGTTAGGAAACATACCATCAAATATCAGACATCAGACAATACCATCAGACATTATTGAATGTCTCCATTGTGGAAGATGAAATTCACAGTATAATTGATGATTTTAGTTCAGGCTGTTGCAATATAGAGAAAGTTCATTAATGAGAAACATCTCAAAGAGGGAAGAAACCAAGGGGTTTTATAAGGAGAAGTAAATAAGGGAATCATTAGGAGGGGTGGAAGTGACTCTTACCTAAGATTTTGTGAGGAAAACTTGGTCCTTTGCAGATAGTCATTTGTCGGAAAACAAAACAGGACTGGGAGATTTTTCATTGTTCCTTGCTTTTCTCTAGCACAGGGCTCAGATGCAGTTCAACGTATTCAATTATGAATAGAATTTAAACCCCAGGAGGCAAGACTCCTATCTGTTTCGTACTTTGGTATATAGTATTTTCAATACCTAGCAAGTGCTAAGAAACTCAATAAATGCTGAACAGATGGATAAAGGAATGAATTTAAAATGGTAACCACCTTAGGTCTCCTGTCTGCTGAAGAATGTGTGATTATACCAGTGTAGAATTGGTCTTTCTGCTGTAAGTGGCTTCATAAATGAGATGAGCTTCCATGGAATATATTTACATCCTATCATCACCAGTATGTGGTATATTCTCTGTTGAAACCATATGTTTGTAATACTTACTGTCAAATTCTCTTTCATAGAGAGAGTCAGAATTGCTGACTTAAGAGGGTTCTTTTAGTAGGACTCTGAATTCTACTTAACGAAACTGTTTCTCTGGTGTTATGGCCAGTAGAGAATCTTTTTTTCTTATTTGGGCTAGATGTCAAATTTGTCCTTCCTTCAACATGAGTAAACAAAGAATTAAACTGGGCCTGATTTAATTGGGCTCCTTGATTTGAAAAACTCACATTTAGTTGTTCCAGTTTAGGAATGTATATAACTTTATTTTGAAATGTTGGCTTTGTTAATTTCAACAACTGAGCTACTAGAGTACTTTGTTAGAAAACAAAAGCTAGGAACTACCTATTTAAAAGAGCTGTTTAAATGGAAATTACCTAGAGAAGGATAGGAGATACACACATATTAAATATCTCTGACTGGGTTTGGTAACCCACAAGTTTGGAAGTTTATTAAGAAAATAAAGCACTGGTGGGGCGCCTGGGTGGCTTAGTCGGTTAAGCGTCCGACTTTCGCTTAGGTCATGATCTCGTGGTTCGTGGGTTCGAGCCCCGCGTCGCGCTCTGTGCTGACTGCCAGCTCAGAGCCTGGAGCCAATTTCGGAATCTGTGTCTCCCTCTGTCTCTGACCCTCCCCTGCTCACGCTGTCTCTCTCTCTCTCCTAGAAATAAAAAAAAAAGAAAAAAAATAAAGCACTGTTAAGTCTCAGTGGTGAGATGAAGCAGCAGTGAGAATGTGGGTTATAGAGGAGGGTAGAAGCTTTCACAGCAGGAAAAATGCTTTTTAGGCTTCAGCCAAGTTTCTTTATCCTACTTCTTGTTCCATATAGAATGGTTTTTCCAACTACCCAGTCACTTAAACTAGACCTGGGAGTTATCCTACCAACATTCTCTCTCTTGGTTTGGTTAGTAAATCCTTTAAAAAAAAAAAAAAAAAATCCTTCACATCTTTTCAGATCTTTCCTAACCCTTTCCATTCTTCTTTGTTCCCTCTTACTCATAAATCCTGGTTAAATGTAGGTGCTCATCTTTTCCAGGGAGTATTGGCACTGATGGCTTGCATCCTTCAGGTCTAGGGCCCTTTAGTTGCTTACTAACTCATCTTATTATATACTCTTAAATTAAGATTGATACCTGATTTTCTTTTAACATTCCACTCATACTAGTTTAGTTGCCTTGCTTAGAACTTTCATATTTAATTTTTCTGCCTTTGTTTTTGCTCTGTAATGTTTTTTCTGTTTTTTGGGAGGGAAATCCTTCCAGTGTCATCATTTTTTTTAATGGGAAAACAACTTTATTTTTTTGTGATATCTCTCAAATTTAAATTTTGGCAACTAATTAATTCAGTTAAAAAAACTTGCTGTCTCCCATGTCTAAAAAACATTGAAACCTCATAAAGCTTTCTTTGACCATTCTTCTTTCCTCCTGCGAAATTAATTGCTCCGTCTTTGTGTAGTCTCATATGTCAGCTCATAATTTTCAAATTGTTCTAAAAGAAAGTACAAATAGTAATGTATCAAAGTTTCTTTTTTCATTCATAAAAACTGGTTCAATGAGGAATTGTGAGTTATATAATAATAAGGAATGCTGAAATAAAATTGCTAAAATATAAAATTGGTTGATATTCTATAGGGTAGGCAGACTATATAGCCTTTGAGATATACTGGAACTACTGGAATAGTTTACTTTTACATTTATGGAGTTGTAAACTGCCTGGACCCTAATCAGTTGTAAGTTGGAAATCAAATAATCAGGTGACATCTGGTGAACTTATTTAGAAAATCCTCTGCATGACAGTAAAAGTCACACAAGTCATCTTTGTATTTTATTTTAGATTTTGAGTAGTTTGTCTGAAAACATGTTAATTTATATATTGTTAGTGGCCAAGTACCTCTTCAAATCTTCTCATTTTATTTTAAAATGTTAATTTTTCCGGAATCACCAATGGAAGATTCAGACCAGTATTTTTTGGCCTGTTCTTTTTTTTTTTTTTTTAATTTTTTTTTTTAATGTTTTATTTCTGAGAGAGAGACAGCTTGAGCAGGAGAGGGTCAGACGAGAGAGAGGGAAATACAGAATCTGAAACAGGCTCTAGGCTCTGAGCTGTGGCCTGTTCCTAAATGAGCACTGGTTCCATATTGAATTGTCTGCAATAGAGTTATGTTAGAACATCAACCACCAACTTGAATTTAATGTGTTCTCAGTATATGTATAAGAATAGAAGCATTCATAGGACTTAAATGTATAGAACAAAGTCAGTAAGATGCCATTTGATTAGTTTGGTTTTGAAGTTTAAATAGGAGCTTCACACAGAAAGGGGAGAACAAATCAGATAGAGTGACCAATCTGCTTTAAGACCAACACTGCTTTAAGACTTGAGTGTGGGTTATTGTCAGTGACCCCAAGTTTCTAACCAATCTCTGGTCTTTTCTTTTTCCACATTTTAATTCAGGTGAATTACTGCTGACATAGTTATTTTCATAAAAACTTTGATCATGGTCCTTCCCTGCTTAAGAAATCTAAATTGCTTCATGTTGCCAACACATTAGACTTAATTTTGCTTGGCCTGGGAGCTCCTCCATTCCCTTGTTCTTTCAGACTCAGTTTCTTTATTCCAACAGTATGATGGTCTGTATATTCTGTGGAGGTTCTCTTGTCTTAAAAGTTTGGTTGTATAAGGGGCGCCTGGGTGGCTTAGTTGGTTAAGCGTCCGACTTTCTCTTAGGTCATGATCTCGTGGTTCGTGGGTTCAAGCCCTGCGTCGGGCTCTGTGCTGACTGCCAGCTCAGAGCCTGGAGCCTGTTTCAGTCTGACTCCCTCTCTCTCTGACCCTCCCCTGCTCACGCTGTCTCTCTCTCTCTCTCCTAGAAATAAATAAAACATTAAAAAAAAAAATTTGGTTGTATTTGTTCATAGAGATATGCAGTTATATACCCTGTATGGTAAATCTCTGGGTGGGTGTCTCAGTTTCACCTGGAAGGCAGCAAGCCACTTTTCATACTAGGTCACATATAGTGCTTCATATGGAATTTTTGCTATATAAAAATATACCTCACATGTCAATATATTTTTGTATTTGTAGACCTGAAAAATGTCTGAAAATTCCAGTGACAGTGACTCATCTTGTGGTTGGACTGTCATCAATCATGAGGTATGCTGTTTAATACTTTTTATAAGGCAGTTTGTATTATTACAGTGTTAATGGTGTAAGCTGGGTTTTTTGAAGACCATTATTTTTCTACATTGAAACCTAAGGTGCCATTGTCTATAGCTTGGACATTTTTGTACCCATATTAAACTTCACTACTGAAAACTCTTCATGAGCCAGTATCTTCTGCATTACTGTACATTGCTTTCCTCAGCTTTGAGACATTAGGCAAATATTTATTGAAGGTTTATTGTTGTTCAGGGCCTGCACTTTACCTACATTCTCATAGAATTGTGAACAACCCTCTGTGGTATATAGATTGTTTCATTTCTCATTTCATAGTTGAGAAACCTAGAGCTTAGAGAGGTTATTAAGTAATTTGGCCAAGATTATATAACTAGAAGATGTTGGAGCCTGCATTTAAACAGATCAGAAAAGAGCATGGAGAACATATATTCACTTTTGATATGTTATGCTGTGTTATGTTATTAGCAGAACTTGACAGAAACAAGAATTCTTTCAAAAAAATCAATATTCTTATAGAAGTGTGATGTTACATGACTAGTATATAATAACCGTTATTTTTCTTTTCCACACTCGTAATATATGTTCATTGTAGAAAAATCATAAAATACTGATGAGTAGAAGCAATAAGTTAAAAGTCACTTATTTCTATTTAAAGTTTTAATGGATTTATCTATAGCTTTCCTATTGGTTTTTAGGATCTCTTAAGCCTTGACTTGTCTTCCTTGATTAGTAAAAGTTTTAAACAGTTTTTTAAATAATTACTTTGATAATTTAAGGCTTAGACAGTTGGTTACTCATGTCTTCTAAAAACCAATATTAACCAAAAAAGGATTTTTTCCGCAATAAAGTTTGAAAATTTAATAACAGCTGTACCAATTGAGATTGTAGTGGTTTCTTTTTTTAATATAAGTGTTTTTTTCTATTTTTAACCTGTTTTATACAAAGCTTCCATAGCAGTAACTTCTCCTTCAAGGATAATTAACATTATAGGAGCAAGGAAGCTGTGAGAGCCTTACTTAGGATTCTGCATTGGGAAGCAAGAAGAAAGCCTCTCCGGCACTTATCCAAGTGTGTCATTAGGGTGCTGTTCACCAGGGATAATCTTGTCACACAGTAGATCAGATTTGTATTTTCATCCCTCTTCCCTCAGTATCTAGTTAATCAGGTTCTACTCTTTCTTGCTAATGTCTCTTAACATGTGTTTCCTTTTTCTTTTCCTTTACTGCCATTCTATTTTAGGCCAGAACCTGTGTCCCCTGCAGTCCCGAATTCAGCCCTACACTTGTCTGTTCCTGTCATTTCCCTGCCACTTTAGGCAACCCAAGAGTCTTAACATTCAGAATTCTCTTTTGGACTAAAGTGAAAACTTAGTCCTTTAATGATTTCTTTTAATTTTTGTTGTTTTGAGTTATGTATATTAGGAGAACTTAGACCTTTCAATTTCATGGATTAGTAAACCACAGAAAAACTTGAGAGGGGCATGAGGATCGGCAGAATCAACTTAGTGGTTCACTTTATTTTGCTAATTAAGATAAGAGAATAAGTGGATCTGTAAGATCCACTATTTTATTAAAGAGAAGACAGTTGACATCAAAGTAGGAAGGACAATATTAGAAGAATAAAGAATAATCTAAAGTTTTACAGAGGAAATTTACTCCATCAATCCTGTAGACACATTTTAATCCTTGCCCTTAGATTTTTAGCTCTGCATTGCCAAAGTAAATAGTTACTTGCATGTGGAAATTTCTCTAAATAGGCTGCAAATTTGAATTTTGGATTTGAATTTTTTATACCTCACAACAGTGCAAAGTGCCTTGCATAGTACTTTTGTAAATGCTGAGTAGGAGTAAATTAATAGAAATAGCGAAGCTTAAAAACTCACCCTCTGTGATCAAATTTATTGCTTGGGCTTATGAAATAGAGTAGAACATTTGACTTTTGGTTGACTTCTCTTAGAATCTAAACCTGTTTCCCTGCCATAGGCCTTTATGGACTAAATTGAATAAAAGGTACAAATTAGATACTGTTCCCTTTGGAGTATGGCAGCATCTAGGACTTTAAACAATGGAAGTATCTACGTGTAGTGAAATCCAGCTTTGATAGACATATAACTCATTATCATTATTTTCCTAGGGGTCTGATATAGAGATGGTGAATTCTGAACATGGCACAGCCAGCGACAGCTGTGAGCTTGCTCCAGAATGCACATCTTTGGAGCAAGAGGAGCTGCAAGTATTGCAGTCAGAGCAAGGAGGTAAGATGTTAAAAGGAGTCTGATTTTTTTTTAATAGAATTTATGAACAATAGTGTAAATTGCCTTCCTTCTAGGTGGGCAGCCTTTCTGGCTAATCATTGATCAGGTCACTAAACGACTAGAATTTTCGTGTGGATTGGGTAGTGGCACCAACCTGCTCAGGGGTTTATTTGCATCCATAGTATGTATTACAGCCTCCCTTAGTTACTCAAGAGTTATTAGGAAATAGAGTGTTATACAGTAACTAAACATTACTAATGTTAAGACTAGTGATGTACAAAATACAGGGGATTTACTAAACTCTTTTCAAGTTATCATCACACTTCAAATTACTTTTGGTTAGAGGTGGTAAAAAAGTATTTAACTGCTGTACTCTTCATTTTTAAATTACTTCTTAAATGTTTTTAAAAAATTGAATTAAAATGTAAATAGAACATATCCTCCTCAGGATAAAGTGGATGTGTCATGTCTAGAAATAATGATGGATTATTCTTTTAAATCTTGTTTTCAGCCTGTGTATTGATTATTCTCATTTGAACAGTGATTCTCATCTTTGATAGGTCAGAGATTTTCCCAAGAAATGCACATACTCACTTATGTAAAAGTATTTCCAAACTTCCTTGGGAGTCCTTGGACCCATGTCCACCTTTGTTCAAGAGACTTAATATCAGATTAATACTCTATTAGGGGCTTTGTAACACCATACAGATGGCATAGTTTTTCTTTTTTTCCTCCTTTTTTTTTTTTGGAGGGGATAAATTCTATGAGAATTGCATTGACAGAAAAAAATTATGAACAAAACAAATTTTAAGTCACCCTTAATTCTTTTTATCTGGAGATAACTGCTATGAGCATTTGGTATATGTTCATGTATTAAAACTTTTAACTTTTATGAAAAATTTATAGCCTTTTTCATGAAAAATAGAATTTTTTATAAACTCTAGGTTTTTTTTGTACATTTTTTTCTTTGAGGAATTTCTTATAAAATATATCTGCTGTAGTAACATCTTGTTTTTCTGTGTTCTTTTGAATCCTTGTTTTTTATAGTCCTTTTCATTGCAAAGAATTCATAATTTGAAGCTGTAGTTTTGTTTCTTGTGTTACCAGGTATTGACAGTCATTAGAATAGTGCTACTTTTAGGAATTCTTAATAAATTAAGAATTCAGGAAATGTACCCTCAGATGTCTGAAAATTATTTTCCCGTATTAACAGATTTTTACAAACACCTTGGAATTAAGTCCACTTAAAAATTAGGAATAGATTTTATGTATGCAGATTATATTTGTGGCCTATAAAAAGTCATTTAAGCATAACTGATTGAGTTGATCTTTGCTTTATGTCAGAGAGTAGCCAAAATGGCACGGTGTTAATGGGAGAAACTGCTTATCCAGCTCTGGAGGAAACGAAGTCAGCCCTTGAGGTAAACTTGTGTTTTACTCTGTGGATATATGATAAACAGTATTCCTTATGCTTCCCTTTGTAATTGTGCTTCTGTTCCTCTTTGAATTATATACAACCTGTCTTAAAAAAATTTTTGAGATTCCACATTGGTCACTTTTATGATTAGTATTAGCTTTTGTTTTAATTCTTACGTGAGATGTCTTTTAATTTACAAAAGTAATTTCTTGGTAATTATATAATTTTCCTTGGAAATAGACTACATTCTTGAATGATATTGAGAAATTAAATTATTAGGGCTGATCTCTAAAAATGATTCATTTTTAAATTTGAGAACAAACAAAATCTTGTTTTTTGGTGTGTTACTTGACTTCTAGACAAAACTAGATTACATGATCTTTACATGGCATAGCTATTGAAGTTTATTACATAGATAACCAGAGAAATTTTAATCAGTCTTTTCCTGACTATAGAGTCATGCCCAAATAAACCCGTAGAACTGGTAAGAAATGAATCCTCTCTTTCATGGCCCTTGTGTTTTAAAGGTGGGCTTTGTAGCTTCTGCAGCCCACAATAATTAGGCAGCAGTTTGATCTGATCCTGAGAGAGAGAATCCTCAAAGGGATTGATGATGTTTTCAAACTAAAAAATGAGCCTACTTTTGAGTAATCTGTGTCTTTTGGGCAGGACTCATATCTTTTATTTTAAGCCTAAATTACCATACCACTTAAGTACTGTTGTACACTTTGAACTGCATAGAAAATAAAAAGCTTTTAAATAATTGTTAAATTTACTACTGTCTTTAAAATTATCTCTCAGAGAGAAGAAAAGTCGTCTGAAGACAATGTCTATTTTGGAACTGTCAGTGATGATTCTGATATTGTTACCCTTGAGCCACCTAAGTTAGAAGAAATTGGAAATCAGGAAGCTATAATTGTTGAAGAAGCACAGAGTCCAGAAGACTTTAACATGGGCTCTTCTTCTAGCAGCCAGTATACATTCTGTCAGCCAGAAACTGGTAAGAACTGCATAAAGAATACACTGATAAGAGACTTAAGGTCTCCAGTGACCACCTTTTATGTATGTATAATGGTCAAGTTTTTAATATATTTGAGATTTTCTGGGTAAAACCTACTGTTAAATCTGGTGTTTTCTTAGATTGTAGGGCTTAGAACACAATTGCTATAACAATAAATACCATCTTTTATTAAGTGAAAGATAAAAAAATATATCTTTAAGGAGATTTGTTACTGTCTGAAACACTCTAAAATGTGTTGACGTTTTAGATCTTTAAAGGTGGGAGATTGAGTCATTGTAACTAAAAACAGGAGAAAGTTAAGATTTCTACTTACAGTGTACAAATTTTATATTCTAGAGATAAGCTGCTTTTTTAAGTCTGTTAGATCCTTTCAATTAATCATTTATTGGATACTACTTTGTGCCAAACAGGGTCCAAAGAGTGGCAGTACAAGCAGCAGCCCAACACCCCTGACCTTTGTATCTTTCATCTTAGATTGAGTTATGAAAGGTGTCTGTTTTAAGTCACATTATTAATGCAGTTCATGCCTACTGCTCAGATAATTATTTGGAGGTTAAAATGTGAGTTACTGAGCTAATTCCTTTCTATATTTCTTTGGCTCAGTTGAATGGATGTATATACAACATCTTTTAAGGTGAACATAAATGTTAAGACACAAAGTTACTGGAAGATAAACAGACCTGGAGTAACTCACCCTTATTAACCAATATCTTGAGCTGTAACTCAAGGATGAATTTTAGGAAAAACAAGTTGGTACACTGCTAAGTGATTCCAGAATGTCCTAATTTGTGCAAAAATAGGAACATGTCTATTTTGGATCATTTTCTTAGAGTTTACCGTTCTTTAATACTTACATTTGCCAGAATCAGACAATGGAATTTCTGTTATTCCACTTTAAGCTAGTAGAGATTTTTAGTTATATAATTTAATGGCGAGTTATTTTCAGTTAGTATATAAGAACTTGAAAACACTTTATTCAGATATTTAAATACTCAACTGTCCTTCTTATTGGTGGTCAGCCTTGTTCGAATGGTATATATGTAGTTCGTTTATTACAAGGACTAATGAAATTATTTTGGAACCTTTTTTGTTCATCAGATTTTATTTTGTTTAAATCCAGGATTCATGCTGTTTCAAGTAGTCTTCGTTTTTCCTATTTTTGGAAGACTATAGATGCTGGTTTAGTTTGAGAATATTCAGGGGCCAGAAAAAGTAGTCACATTGAAGCAGGAGTATTGCAGAAGAGTCTAAGCAGTCCTTTAAGAAATTGATGATACAAACTTAATTTTTTTCAGTAACTTGGGCACTTCAAAGCACATTATTCTAATTTTTATCTCCATTCTAAACTTGGACTTCTTGGGAATTTTACAGTTTCAGTTAAGAGAAATATTTTATTAGGAGTATTTCTATCCATTGCTATCTCTCCCAAAGGAGGAAGTTATTTCAATAAAGAAAGTATTACTAAATACTTTACAACATGACATTTTGGATTATGTTGAAAATATTATATATAAATCCATTGCTAAGAGTCTTTGGTTTTGTTTTCTCTCTCTTATCTCCTCTATTTTTCTTGGTTTAATTCCCGAGTGCCTATTATCTGGTTATTTTGATTTTTCCTTTCCATTCTTCTCCCTCTCTGTAGGATTTCAACTTCAGGTTTTTTTCTTCTTCTAAATTAGATTCTGGGAGCAATATACTTTTTATTTGAGAATATTCTCCACTGCTGCCAGAGGATTCTCCCCTAAGAAAGCAAAGTTGGTAGCTGTAGAAAAGTTCGTATTGCATATGTTTTTTTAAAAGGCATGCTGTAAAATTTTGATGGAGCACAAATAATGATGTTAAGTGATAATTAAAATAAGTATTTTCAATTCTCTTTTTCCTTTTTAGTCCTTATAACAAAGCTTTATACATCTTTTTTTCCTGTTTATTCACAAAAGAAAGGTGGTGGGAGAAGCTGTGGAAGATTCCTGAATGCATAAGGGGATGGGATGATCAGCTGAAACACCATGTTCCTAGCCAACTCGCTTCCCAAGGTGGTGTGACTAAATCTGATCAGCTTTTCCAGAGCTGAGTGTGCCTAGTCACATTTACTATTTACTTAGTGCTTTAAAGATATCTGTTGCCATCTGTGATACTCTAAACAGGTGTTCAAATTGATCTTGTAATAAAGCTGGCTGAGCTTACTGCATGCCTTTGCATTGCCTGCATCTTGGACTATGGGCCAAATTAAGCTTTGGAAGAAATGTAATAATCAAAATACTTTAGCTATCATATGTATGGGTTAAAAAAGATGGAAGCATTAGATGAGATGAATTTATTAATATAGATTAGGCTGACTTGTTTACTGAGAAAATATAATGGCAATATGCTCACGTAGAATTAAATTAATTTTGTGACATTTCAAATGAAATTTGAAAGGAATTTTGACAAGTTGTTTTTGCATTTATCCATCTTAATACGTATTGCCAGAGAGTCTGACTTAAATACTCCAGCCATGATCTTGAATGCCTTTGTATTATGTAATGCTTTGTTTAAGTCTTCCTTTTCTTTCTCTTTGTCCAAGAAACGTAACCTCACAGCTGAGGCGACGGCATCTGGGAAAAACTAGTGATCAAGAATAACCTGATAAACATGATGGGCATAAGGGTCATGATCAAAAGATCTCTCAGTGGCATCTGTATAACTAAATATTAGGAATATTCATTCATTCAGTAGTTCTTTTTGTCTTTGTGTGTGTTGTTGTCAGTGTGATAGTTAACTGAATTCCTTTGTGATCCATCTTTAAAAAGTACTGCCTAACCTAAGTCACCAGCTTTCCTGTGGCATGGATATCCTGTCTTCTGAAGAACCGTTTTACTTTTTTGAAGCATGAGTGTTTGTTATTTTGGAGCTCTTTGTATGAAATTGAGGTTCACGTTTATCCTTTTGGTGCCTTTTTTTTTTTTTTCCTTCTAACTGGCCTATGGAAATTCTTACTACCAAGCCATCTAACTTTCTTTGTCAACATATAGTTTATTGACTGATGGAACAGTGTTAACAAATTATACATTTGAAAAAACCGAAGGTGATTTTTTTAGTGGATATACCTGGACTTGAGATTTGTTGTGGCTTTTTGTTGTTGTTGTTGTTGTTGTCCTTTACTATTCTTTTCATAAAGGAGCAGCACCAGACTAGTCCTTAATATCGGAGATAGCTGTTGTGTCACTTCCTCATGCTGACATATTTACTAGAGGGTTAAATTAATAACCTTCTAGTAAGAGTGGCAGTCGAAGGGAAGGGCTCATCTGACTTCTGGAAACCTGTGTTAAACTATAGTGCTTTGAACCTTGATTGAGGACTCAAGGAATGGAAATGAAACTAGGGTCCAGATACACCCAAGAAAACTTTAGGAAGTAGTTGTACTTTGTAAGTCACAGGAACTGTTTATATACCTCCCTGTGTTTCTTGAACAGTTGAGCTTAAATTGCCTCTATTTGATATTCAAAGAAGAGATTGAGAGTTAGTTTTTTTTTTCCTTCCAGAAGGAGTATCTGTTTATGGTTCTAATAGCAAAGAAATTTATTAGTCTATGAGAATGATTGTTCTAACAGTATAAACTATAAGAGAGGTTTAAAAAATAAAACCAGATAGACCCTCAAAGGCACAGAATATGATTGATTCTTGTGTATCACAGTTGAAATCTTTGATGTTTTGGCTTTATGTTGATAAACTTGAAAACTTGAGTGTTTGTGTTCTTTTGTTTTTATTTTTGGCTGTCTTATGTAAAAGGGAATGTAGGGATGGCATTGATTATTCTAAATCATGTTTACTGGAAAACACAATTCTAAAATTTTTAATATTTACATTTTTCTTTTTAAAATAGTATTTTCATCTCAGCCTAGTGACGATGAATCAAGTAGTGATGAGACCAGTCATCAGCCTAGTCCTGCCTTTAGACGACGCCGTGCTAGGAAGAAGACTGTTTCTAGTTCCGAATCTGAAGAACGGCTACTTCCCGAACAAGAAACCGAACCCTCTAAGGAGTTGTGTAAACGCCAGTTCAGCAGTGGTCTCAATAAATGTGTTATACTTGCTCTGGTGATTGCAGTCAGCATGGGATTTGGACATTTCTATGGTAAGTATTTGAAAATTGGTCATATAGAAACTGATGGTGTAGTGTATGGACCCTTACTAAGACTGAGGAATTCTGGGATCTGTTTTCAGTGTCCCCAGTAAATATATAACCTTGCAAAGCTTGCCATCTGTTTGAGTCTAAGTTTTCTCATTTAGAAAATGGGGATAGCGCTACCCTACCTATCTCACAGGCCTGTTTTTTTTTTTTCACTGAAGTTAGGTGTTATTTATTTAAGAGGTGCAGGGATTTTTCACATGCTTTTTATTTTTTAAGAAAAAGAAAGATTAAAAATATGAATTGCTTACCACGAGGCAAATCATCTTAATTTAAAATCACAAACTAGCTTTAATTGTGGCTTTATTTGGAAGATTATTTAAATCTCAGTTGAAATGGTTACATTTGAAATGTCACAATAATTGGTGCTCATTATTTTCCCCCTTAGGTTTTATGCAAGCATTATATTTTGTGACATTTGTTGCTGTTTCCATGATCCATATGAATTGAGAATTTATTTGTTTTATAATTTAGCATTATACTTTACTCATTATTATTCTTGTTAGTGTTTATGTATATTGATCATCTTTAATGCAGAGCTCTTAAAAGTGTCTTGGATGAAAAGAGGAGGGAATTCCATATGTTGTTATTTTTCATTTGGGAGCCTAACTGTTGAGTCTTAGTTAATGTGATTGTGTATACAAAGATAAGACTGTTTGAGAACTGAGCATTCACACTCTTTGCTGTATTAGAATTTTGTAAAACAAACAAACAAAAAAACCACTTTAAACAAATGTTTTAGATCTTGTCACCTTTACAGGTTTCAATTTGTCTTACATGAAGTACTCCTCTAAGTTTTTTGCCGATATGATCCGCAGTTTAACTTTTGGAATATTCTTGTTTTGCTAGTTCCTTTGAACAATGTGTTTCTTAATACAGAGTGCACCATATGTTAATTTTTGAAAAAGATACATTATTCACCACAGTGTAATGTTAGAACAAACTTAAGATAGTCAATCCTTGTTTAAAGTCAGAGTCAGTAAAACTTCTGAAAAGAAAAACTCTTCTTCTCTAACTTTATATTAAAAAATTAAGCATTTAGACTCCTGGTGGATATCTGCTTGAATTTAATACTGAGATACTATAATTTGTATCCACCCTTGAAGTTTGTTGTAATGGGTTTTGACTTGAAATATATGCTTAATTTTGTTATTATCTAGCTGCGACAAATGTATGAATTTTTGAGCATGATTTTTTCCCCCACAGGTAAACATGGAGGTAACAAAGGAGAAGGTCTTCTCTTAATCTTTTTTTATCTTACTAAAAAAATTGGACAGCGATTTAATGTTAATCCAAACTGCATTAAAACCCCACCAATTGCATGACCTTTAAGTATTTCATAGAAAGTATAATTTAGAAAGGAGTTCTTTCAAAATTAAAAAACTACTCTGTTTAAGATTTTGGTTATTTGTAAAATTTACTTTAATGATTATATTTAATAAAACACTTCCTTATACTTTAAAATTATCTTTCTGGATATGAAAAGCCTGGGTAATATGAAGTAGGTCTGCATTATGAGGAGATTGGCTTGGTGAACATATAAAAACTTCTCTGAATGACTGTTTGCTTTTCAAGGTCACTGTTTAAAGGACATCATATTTTTCTTAATTCTGGCACTTATCTCAACACTTCAAGAGCTCTTTTGAGTTGATTTCAGAGCCCGTTTGAATTTCTCATGCACCATGAAATTAGTCATTGCACTCCATAATCTATCATTTGCTTACTAATTATTTAACACAATATCTTATTAAGTGAATCACTCAGAACATTCAGCAATGTTGGCTCTGGATGAGCTTAGAGAATCAGATTGATCCTAAAGGAAGGGAAAACTAGCAGAATTGAGGATAGTAAAACAATGTACTATAGGTGATTGGTTCTGCTTTAGGTTCTAAAAGTGCTTACAAAAGTTTTTTAAAAATCTTCATGTATGAAGCACCTGTCTTCATTACTCTTCTTTTACATGTAGGCTATCCATATTCTAAATTAATAGTGGACTTCAGTTGATTTGATTTTCTCATGGAGTTGCTTTAAGTATTGATAGGCTACCCTGCTCTTCAGACATTACAACAGAATATAACTAGCTACTAAGTTATGTAGCACAGACAAGAATTACAGCTCAAAGGCTATACTTACTGAGTCATTCTGGAGGTGGTAGGATTTGAGCTGGGTCTGGTCTTATGCTTATAATCGAAGGAAAGTGGACCTTTGCGGCAATGGAGAACATGATAATCTGAATGTAAACTTTGCTGGGTTTGGGAGCAGTGAGAAGACTGACTGGCTTATAGCAAAGGAGATAAATCAGGTCACGTTAAGAGAGTTGTCCAACATATGCTGTGTAATAGTACTGCAAATTCAGATCTCAATACATAGTTTTAGGTTATATTCCAGGGGGTGAAGGAATTCATCCTGTCAGCAGTTTGAAAACAAAGAGGTTTTCTGTTATTTGGGGAACTACAGATGAATTTTCAAATTTAAAAAAATCTTAAATTCTTCTGAGTAATATTGAAACAAATTTGACATGCTTTTATAAATTAAAAAATTAAGAGAGGAGATGAACCCTAACAGAAGACTGTCAGAGCTGGTAACAGTTGTTTATAATTTGTCAAAAATTTTCTCGTTAGTGTAACTCAAGATAATTGAAGAAATTGAAGGGAATTTATTTTAGCAATAGGGGAAGAAATAGTAAACTATCATTACATCCTTTCATTACAAATCCTGTGATGTCTTTGATTAATAGAATGCCACTGTAGATGTTAATGTCATGGTTGCCAAATGTCTTTTACCTTATTATTTTTTTTTTAACATTTACTTATTTATTTTGAGAGAGAGAGAAAAAGAGCACACTTGTGCACATGAGCTGGGGAAGGGCAGAGAGAGAAGAGAGAATCCCAAGCAGGCTCCACGCTGTCAGCCCAGAGCCCAATATGGGCTCAGTCCCACAAACCGTGAGATCATGACCTGAGCTGAAATCAAGAGCTGGATGCTTAACTGATTGAGCCACCCAGGCGCCCCCTTTTGCCTTAATTTTGATTCTGTGTTGTTGTTGCTGTTGTTTTTTCTCTCATGCATGAAGAATGTAGCAGCATGTGAACAGCATGTCTTGGCAAATTAACATTGTGGTTTTTAGGGTGAAACATAGAGAATCCTTCTTGGTTTAAGATTTTTCACTGCTGGGATGGGGATGGTGGAACTCTAGCACAGACCTTTTAAGAATGCAGAATTCTTAAAAAGATTTGGCTGTGAGAAGGGTAGGTAATCACAGCCAATTATTTTCCTTGCCATACTTTTTGGGCTGTTAAACCATTTAGGCAAAATATAGTGAGAAGAAATAGACATTTTTATTATTCCTTATTGATTACATCCTGTGAATAGATTCCATGGTTTACACAAGACTTTATATACCTCAACCATCTCTCAAAAACAACAAACTTTGAGGCTCCTCAATATGGTAGGCCTGGCTTATTTTAATCAAAAGAATAGTAAACTGCTTAAGTATCTGTCAGTGTATGCTAAATTTTAAAAAATGTATTAACCTACTTGGCCTGATTTATATTAACATTTATCTACCACCGTTTGATGAATGACATCATGAGATTTTACTTATTCATTTTTCAGGCACAATTCAGATTCAGAAGCGTCAGCAGTTAGTCAGAAAGATACATGAAGATGAATTGAATGATATGAAGGATTATCTTTCCCAATGTCAACAGGAACAAGAAACTTTTATAGATTATAAGGTACATACCACTAATAAACTTTATAAAAAAGACTTGTTAGCCACTAAGTGTTGTGCTGTTCAGATAAGTACAAAGCAAATTATTAGTTAGTGAATAATAATATTGTAATTGGAGATTACTTACTGTGTCCTAGTCACTGCTGTGAGTACCTCACATACAGTATTTCTTAGCTCACCACAGCTCTGTGAATTAATAAGCAAGTATTAACTTCATTTCATAGATGGGAAAGAGGTTCAAAAAAATTAACTTTTCCAAGGCTAGCAACTGGCAGAGCTGAATTTATCTGACTCCGAAGATGTTATTTCTGATTACTATAATTAACATTTTAATTGATACTATATACAGAAAACATTGTTATTATTAACATTATTTTTACAGAATTGAGCAAAACATTTCCAGTCAGTAAAAAAGAGGAGTTTGTAGCCTCTAAGATCTTTCCTTGTCAAAGGAAATAATCAGCCAGTATTTTTTTCTTTGGCTTCTTGTTGGGTCTGATAGAAGAGAGAGCATGTTCTACTTGCCAACCTACAACTCACCCAGCAGCTCTTTTAATACCTGCGTGGATATGAGGACCAGCGCAGTAGCTGGTCTCCTATCTGGTTCTTCCATAAGAAGGGCATAGGGCTTGTAGGTAAACTCCAGGTAGAAAAGTAAGCTGTGGCTTTTTCCTCCATTCCCTTAAATTTCCTTTATAGTTTCTGTGTGTTTCCCTTATAAACGGACATGATTATATTTCTTTAAAAAAAAAACCCACTTGACATCTGAGTTCTTTCAGGCAGGGAACTACTCAAGTTATTTGTAAGTAGTGTAGTTTTTCCTGCCATGATCAAAGGATGTTTTAAAAAGTAGCCATTTTCTTTACCATCACAGTTTTTGGTTCCATAGGATGATGTTGGCTTTTAGGAGACTGACACTGCTTAGATCTTTACTGAGTCAGTTCTTGCAGATTTCTTATCTCCAGATAGAAGTGGTTTGGATTTTGAAGATCTTCATGGGAGACCTGCCCCAAGATTTGCTTATCAGGCACTTAGTTTAAGACTGTGGAGTTTACTGAATGCAGAATATACCCTCCAGTCATTCTATGGCCTCTTGTGCTTTTGTATTTAAAGATAATGCTACATTAGTCTGTACTACCCTGTGGTCCACATCCATTGCATACATGAAACTTGTTTTCTCTCACATTTAAAGAGCAGTAGAGATGATTATAATGAAATTTTAAATTTTTGAAGACTAATGAATCAGACAGTGAACTATCCATTTCAGATAGTTATTTTTCAAGTGGAAATACTGTCATTTTCTTAAAGGACTTTTTTTTGTTTCTTGTATATCAGATTTTTTTGGTCTCATTCAAATGGATCGCCATAAAGTTTGGTAAATTAAGTAAAATTTAAATATTATTTGCTGATTTATACATAAGATACTTTGATTAGATAATGCTATAACCGTTAACCTGTTTAACCATATTATTTCGTTTCTTGCTGTTTCGATGAAAGTTTGTTACTAATAATGTGAAAGAAAGGCCATTCAAGGATACTTTGAAATGCAGCAAAATTCTGTAAACCTAATTGAACATGTTTTTTTTCTCTTATCAAGGGTGCTGGCTTCAGAGTTACATTGCTATTCTGGTTATAATCTTTTCAGAAGATTATTTGAAATTGGAGAAATTAGTTATAAATGTTACCAAGATTGAGTCCTTTAAGAAGTTCTGGGAGAACCTGTAGGACTCACCTGAACTTTTTTAGGGTTGTTATAGACATAGGCAGGGTGAAGATCTTTCAGATAGAACTAAAATTATTGAAATGTTTTTCTTTTAGAGTGCAGGGAATATAAGTAGAATTTTTTGAAGCTTAAAGTAATCTCTAGCTATAATTTTACTTTTTATAAAAGATCATCTTCTTCACTTAAGGATCGGAGAAACCTATAGTCCTGCCTAAATTCTCCTTAGGAGACTTCTCAGGAGAGATTAGTCGTGTAGTCAAAAGATAGAAGACTTTTCTCCTTTTCTACTAACTTGTAAGTGGACCTAGAAACCATTAAGGATTTAATATGATTATGGGAAATAATAATCACTAATAAGCACTAATCAAAAGTACTCCTAGCTCTATTTTAGAAATCTTACTAGAGATAAACAAGGCTATAGCTAATTTTTTCCCTGTCTTTAATGTCTTCCAACATGCTCTGTTGTTGTTACTATTTTTTTAAAGAAACATTTTATTTACTTTAGGTTCTACACTCCAGCTTGGAGTCCAGTGTGAAGCTTGAATTCATGATCCCTAGATCAAGACCTGAGCCGAGATCAAGGACTGGGGACTTGCATACTGAGCTGCCCAGGGGCCCCAACTATGTTATTATTTTGATGTAGTTCTGTGCTGTGTATTTTTTTGCATATGAACCTTGTATTTTCTGATTTTTACATCTTGAAATACAGATGTATACACTACAAATATATATACTGAATAAAGGATAGTCTGCAGAAGTAGATACTTGGGGCTCCTGGCTGGCTTAGTTGGTAGAGCAAGAGCAAATTACTCTTGATCTTGGTTGTGTTTGAGCCCCACATTGGGTGTGGAAATTACTTAAAAATAAAATCTTAAAAAAAATAGATACTAAGAATTTACAAGTATTGGTTATATATGGTTATGTCTTACAGATTTAAACTGAGCTTTTAAATAGGGCATTTGACATTTTTCTTTCCTCTCTTTCAAAAAAATTTAGTCATTGAAGGAAAACCTTGCAAGGTGTTGGGCCCTTACTGAAGAAGAGAAGATGGCCTTTGAAACTCAGAAAAAGAACCTTGATACAGAAAATCAGTATTTAAGAATATCTCTGGAGAAGGAAGAAAAAGCCTTATCTTCATTACAGGAAGAGTTAAGGAAACTAAGAGAACAGATTAGGATATTGGAAGATAAAGGGACAGGTACTGAATTAGTTACAGAAAATCAGAAACTTAAGCAGCATCTGGAAGAAGAAAAGCTGAAGACACACAGCTTCCTTAATCAAAGGGAGACTCTTTTGGCAGAAGCAAAGATGCTGAGGAAGGAACTGGAGAGAGAACGACTAATCACCATGGCTTTAAAGGTGGAACTCCAGCAGTTAAGCTCTAGTGAATCATACAGCAACCCAGACTCTCCCAATGTAGTGACTGAAAAAAAGGAAATAGAAATCTTACGGGAAAGACTCACTGAGCTGGAGCAGAAGCTAAACTTTGAACAGCAGCGTTCTGATTTGTGGGAAAGGCTATATATTGAGGCAAAAGATCAGAATGTAAAACAAGAAACTGATGGAAAAAAGAAAGGGAGCAGAGGAAACCATAGGGCTAAAAATAAGTCAAAGGAAACATTCTTGGGTTCAGTTAAGGAAACATTTGATGCCATGAAGAATTCTACCAAGGAGTTTGTGAGACATCATAAAGAAAAAATTAAACAGGCTAAAGAAGCTGTGAAGGAAAATCTGAAAAAATTTTCAGATTCAGTTAAATCCACTTTCAGGCATTTCAAAGATACCACTAAGAATATCTTTGATGAAAAGGGCAATAAAAGATTTGGTGCCACAAAAGAAGAAGCAGCTAAAAAACCAACAGTCTTTAGTGAATATTTACACCCACAGTATAAGGCACGTACACAAAACCAGAATAATAGAGGCCCTGCTATGCAAAGAGAGGGAAGGAAAGAAAAGCCAATTCACTTTGAAGAATTTAGAAAAAATACAAAATCACAGAAATGCAGTGCTGAGCATGACTGTAGTGCAAATTTTGATTCTTTCAGAAAGTCTTGTTCTGGTGTATTTGAATGTGCTCAACAGGAATCCATTAACCTTTTTAATATGAAAGTGTTGAATCCTGTAAGGATAGATGAATTTAGACAGTTAATTGAAAGGTATTTATTAGAAAAACTGGATAGTTTTCGTCACTGGAAAGAACTTGATCAATTCATCAATAAGTTTTTCCTAAATGGTGTGTTTATACATGATCAGAAGCTCTTCACTGACTTTGTTAATGATGTTAAAGATTATCTTAAAGACATGAAGGAATATCAAGTAGATAATGATGGAGTGTTTGAGAAGTTGGATGGATATATATATAGACACTTCTTTGGTCACACTCTTTCCCCTCCATATGGACCCAGGTCGGTTTACATAGCACCATGTTATTATAATAGTTTTTAACATTTATAGATTGGGTAGCATTTTTATCATTTTAACATTTTGGAATGTTACGATCTGTAAAGTACTTTTTGTGAAGGAAAGAAAAGTCCTATTTGTAAAAGTACTTTATTGCTAGAGAATTTAGAATAAATTAAATGGAAAGATACAATTTTAAGTTAATAGCTATTACAAACTGAAAATTTCATATGATCAGTTTGACTTGCAAATGGTTTAATTTCTGCCTTAAAGATGCCTTAAGGAAAAAAAATCCTATTTTAGCCTATTTTGTTCATTATAGTTGATATAAAAAGATAATCACCCTAAGTAAAATTATTTTCATTTAATCTTTTATTTTTTTTACTCAGTTTGGGTGAACAGTTAGAGATTTCACTTTGAAATTGGGAAAGCTCATATGTAACAATTTGCGTTGACCCACTGGTCTAATTCCACTTACTGACTAAATTATGATACTTAATAGTTAGTACACAATTATCATTGATAAAAGTAGATGCAGATTTAGCAAGCTACAAGTTATAATGTGTGTGGTTTCTATGCATAATTTCTAAATAAAACTATTCACTGCTTATTAGCTTTATATTCTGTAGCCTGAAACTCCCCTAACCTTCAAATGTTAGCTTTATTTTTTTATCTTTGAGATAGTTCTATATATCTTTTTGAATAAATGTAATGTGTCTATAAAATAATGAGACTGATTCTGGTATCTTTAGTCACTAAATTATCTAGTGCCTAAATGAGCAAAACAGTTTGAGGCTGCCCTGATGAAACATGAAAAACTCTAGACATCAAGGAGCTCACAAGCTTTTGGAGAGTTAGGTAAATATAAGAAATGAAATGGAGGAATGGAGGCATTGTATATGGTGGCCTCAGCCTAGAGATGTTTGGGGAAGCTTCATGAGTGAGGTGGTCTTTGAACTGAACTTTAAAATGGTTTTTGAAGGAGAAATGAGAATTTGCCAAGTAGATAGAGTAGGACATTTTACTCAAAGAGAACTTTATTTGCACAGGTTTGGAGATGGGAAGACATGCCACTTTAAGGAGGCAAGGTAGTGCTTGAGTATGAAAAGAAAAGGTACAGATCTTTTGTGAAAATCAGAAAGACTTCATTTCATGCTAAAAGACTTGTTGCTTCATTGCATTTTGGATCATTGGCAATAGCCTCGAGGATTGGTTGGAAAGAGTGAAGCTGGTCTGGGTTGGTTCACTAGTTAGATAATGGCATCACTAAGGTAAGAGATACCAGAGTGTTTGGAGTACGGGGAATTGGAAATGAGAATTGGGCTTGGAGGTTATCTATTGACAGACACGTGGAAAGAATTAGTTGGCCATTAGATATATGACTTTCTAGTCAGGATTCTGTGTGCATATAGATAGTCTAGGCTGGGGGGGTTATCAGACTCTTGGGGAACACTAACACCTAAGGGGTTTTGGAGAAAGAGGGTTGAGAAGGAGACCATAGAAAGGCATCATGAAAATCGAAAGATCATCTCAAGTGAAAGGAAAATACAAAAGTGTGTCAAATGCTTTAAACATTAAACAAAAGAGACTGGATTTCTTGGGTGGGGAATTGGGTGGTCATGAATGGCATTATGGACTGTTTTCAGTGAGGTAGTGACAGAAGAAGCCTGATTATGAAGTTTGAGGAAAGCTGTAAATACAGACCTTGTTTATGAATCTTAGCTGTAGCTGTGAGAGGAAAAATAAAACTTTGTTTTGTTTGTAAGAGATATATACATATTCCTGCTGAGGTGTGAAGCAATGGGGAGTGATTGACTTTGCAGGAGAGGAAAAATAATGGAAACACATCTCATTATTTTATTGTCACATTTCTATTTATTTGTTGAGTATTTCCCCTTTTTTGCCACTACAGTTATGTTTGCTTATTTTTCCTGTCTGTAGGATAAAAGTATAATACTGAATCTTTTTGGTATGGTTGTATTAGGATTATACTTAAGGTTAATTTACGTCCTTTTTCAGAGTGTTGTGATAATTAATGGAGAAAAACATTAAAGTTGTTTCTTGTTTAAATTTAACTCTAACATAGATGAAAAATGTGTTTACTGCTTTCAGTCGACCAGATAAAAAGCAACGTATGGTAAATATTGAAAACTCCAGGCATCGAAAACAAGAGCAGAAGCACCCTCAGCCACAACCTTATAAAAGGGAAGGTAAATGGCATAAATATGGTCGCACTAATGGAAGACACATGGCAAATCTTGAAATAGAATTGGGGCAGTTACCTTTTGACGCTAAATATTGATCATGATTAAGTTAAATTAGAAAATGGTAACAGAAACATGGATGTTTTCTACAATGTTTGGTGTTGAAACTAAAGTGAAATTTCTTTGTCATTTCTAAGTATCAGTTTGATGACTTTACATTATTACTCAGAAGCATCAAGCAAAAGCTTACTAACTTGCATTTTCCTGTAGTTTAGCTTTGCTGAATTTTTTTTTTTTTTTTTTTGGCACTGGAAATGTTCAACTGTAGTTTCAAGGAAGCCAGGCATGCAACAGATTTTGTGCATGAAATGAGTCTTCCTTTCAATGTTTGAGCTTAAAGCAAGCTCAGATCCTATGACAAAGTGTAATTAACACTGATATTTGTGTTAAATTTGCAGTAGAGCTTGAAAAAAGTACCTTGTGATGGGATTTCATCTTTAACACTTTATAATCTGACACTTGCTTCTTGTCTTTTTGTGGGTTCAAGAGCCCGCTGACTTATGAAGAATTTGCTGCCTTCTTATGAGCTTGCTGACTTGTTCTCTTGTGAAATTTCTTGCACATCTGAATATTGTGGAAGAAACAATAAAACTACACCATGAGGAAAACTAAAGGTCTTTATTGAAAATCTGACATCTGTATTAATACATGAATTTATACTTTGTGATATTTTCCATACATTTCCTCAGTAGTGGTTTTTGGTTAATCAGTTCAGTGGTTGCTAGTTCATGAATCTTACCCAGTATTTACAAGTGTATTTATGCAGCAGCTGAATGTTTCTACCCAGCAATGTCTTTTCTCTAGAAGAGATTTAAACACATTTCAGAATTTCAGCTTCTGTTGAGTTTCCTTTTTAATTTCCGTTCATAGACATATATGTGACTTCCAGTTCGACCTTCTGGCAAGTGAGTGTGGAAGAACACAGCAGTTCTCTCGTAGCTGCTTGAAATTAGGAAAGCACTTATTTCCTAGAAGTAAATAAATGTTTAAGTAAATAAAGGCTACATTTTGCTGAGCACTGTTTCAGGAATTTTAGAATGACTTGATTTGCGTCTATACCACTTTTGTCTTAATAAAACAACATAGTTTCTTAATAAAAGAATTAACTTAAGTAACATATGTATCCTGAAAGTTATAGATCTGGGACGGATTTTGACCAGGGAAAAGACCAGTTACAAAATATGGGGGTTTGTGGGGCACCTGCATGCTGTCAGTGCAGAGTCCACTTCAGATCCTTTGTCCCCCTTTGTTTGCCCCTTCTCCACTCGTGCTCTCAAAAATAAAATATTAAAAAATATATATGGGGGTTGGAAGGGATCTTTAAAAAGTTGTGTGTTTATTTGCTTAAGTGCTAAACTTGAGATGGAATATAAATAGTAAGTTTTCCCTTTTTTCATGTTTCCTTACCTCCTCTAAGATGCTGAAGATGATCAAGTGAGTAGGCAATGTTGAATCATTGTGAAACTCTTTATAAAGCCAGTTTAAGGGATTTAGATAAAATGTATCTGCTTCATCAAGATACTGACTTTTTCCAGTCAGGTCTGGGGGACATTGGAGAAATCTCATTGGAAGTGGGTAATGGACATGACTGTGAAGAGAAAGTTAACAGTTACAAGAAGTAAAAAGAAAAAGTTTTTGAAGTACTCTTAATATCTATCATGTTCACATAAGAAACTGTGAAATCTGAATCTTAATGGAGTTCCAGTTGAAGTGAAGAAGCAAGTCTTTAATGTATGTAGTTTTCTCAGAGATGGACAATATGATTCTTAAACCATGTTGCCTTTTGCAGCAGCAGCATAACCTTTGAGTCCAAACTAAAGCATGAAACATCATTTCAAGGTGGGATAGTAAGTCAGTAGTATGGGTGTCTCCATATTCTCCTACATTAGTGTGCTCTTGCAAGAAGAATGGAAGGGGCCTTTGGGACCAGGTAGGTTACTTGTTAATAAGAGTAATTTCCCATAGGCTTAATTGGCAAGGTAGAAAATTTCTTGAACCACAAAAGATTCTTGCTTTCTTCCCTTTCTGCTCTGAAAGGGGATGGATCATGTCCTTAAATAAGTTTTTTCCTGGGTGGTGGTGGTGGTGGTGGTGTTCTATATTTATTTAAATAAGATTTAGTAAAAGAGAGCAACATATGCTCACTGATTAAAATCCAAATAAGTAATGGTTTTATTGTGGCCTAGAAAGACTAGAATGCATGTAAAAGATGGATTGATGAATTAGGACAACTTAAGCCAGTTACTTGCACTATGCAAAAGCCACTTTTATAACTTTGCCTCAGGAAAAATAAGTATGTGATAGAGGTTTTTGTTATCTATGAAATGCATACAAGTAAACTTACACAAGACCTAACACTTCATGGACTTTTATAATTTAGGAGATGAAGGTCTTGTTTCAGGGAGAAAATAGAAACAGCTGGACTTTTTTTTTTTTTTTTGCTTCATTGTGCAGTTTGAAAAATCTAAGAGCTTGGTGAACTACTCAAAAGTCTAAGACATCAACTACTACAACCATGTATGGAAAGGATCTTGGTGCCTCTAGAATTCCTTTTGTCTTCAGCGTTACCGCTATCATGAGCTTGGAGGGAGAACGAATGTCCCACTCTTAGCTCTGGTCTTTTTTATATAGCAGGTGAACCTCAAGCTGAAAGGATACCTGGGATCTTACATCAAACTGGTGGCTTTGCTAGGCAATCCCAGCTTTCCAAATGTGTGGCATTAATGATTCAGTTAAGTAGACTATTGTAAAAGTGTTGTATTACCTTAAAATGATATCAGCTTTGATACTTAGTTGACTATGCACATGGAAAATTACTTACATATTGTTTAAAGCCAGGTTAAGTAGGTGTAGAACTTTTTAAAGGAAAGCAGTTTACTCTTGTACCATTATTGGGCAGTTGGTAATGAATGCAGCTTAGAATAAAAGCATAGGACCAAATGGATGTCTTTTAAAATGTCCTGCATAGTTAAGGCGATTTTAGTGTTATATTTCCCAGAAACACTTAAGTCAAACATTAGGATATCACCTAATTGAATTAACTAATTCTTATAGGTGAGATAGCTGATACGAAGACAGATCACTTGATCAGTGGTCAATTAATTTAAATTCAGGAACCTGAAAGGAATGTAAGTAGTCAGTTTCATTTTCTTAATAGCATATACTGGGACAACTTGTATTACCTATAATAAGGAGTAGAGTGGCAAGGCATCATTACAAATACTGAGTCTGACGATGTATTGGGATTATTGTAACAGAGTTCTTGAACATGAGTCATGACATCAAGAGTACCTCGTTGATGAACTAAACCAGTATAGAGGGCAAGGAGCATATTTGATAAAAACAGGAAACTCAGTACTGGTGTCTTCCACGTTTTGAGGTGGTTTAGTGAGTACCCTGTATGAAAATAGACACATTGAACCATAATACTGGCATTCTTGTTTTAGGCTAGCTAAGCAAATGTTAACTGCAGATACATTTGTAATATTTAATGGAAGTAGCACAAACTAATGCTGTCATAGGCAAACAAGAAATAAGCAATAGATCATCTGTGTAATCTCTCTAAACCATTCGCTGTCATTGTCCTCTGGTCTTGACCTTTTTCTGGAAAAAATAATTAAGGGATAGTGGAAAAAGTATGGCTGGGGAGTTCAAACAGACCCAGATATGAATTCTAAATTCTGGCACAAGTCACTTTACTGTGCTGAGCATTAGTTTCCCCATCTGCAAATGGGATAACAGTAACTTTTCCAAGTATTAGAAACATGTATGTCCTATGCTTGTCCTGGTACATAATGGTTTGTTTACCTGTCTCTTCTCTTTCATCTCCCAAGCATAGGACATACATGTTTCTTGCATACATACAAGTCTCAGTAATTCTGATGAAGAATGGCAGAGTGTCCTCATAGAAAAATAAACCACTGGGAGATTTTCAGTAGTATGTATGGTGGCATGGATGGATATCCTTTTCTGAAAGAACTGTCTTTTCTTTCACCACAATGTTGGGCAATTTGGAGACGCCGAACACTTTTTTCCATTTGTAAAATAATCCTTGCATGTGGCAAAAAACCAAGGAGAATAGAGTAAATGAAAAGTAAAAGTCCCCTGTCCTCCTATAGTCTTGCTCCCCAGTAATAATCATTGGTAATGAGCACATTAGGATCTGTTGAAAATACTATACAAGAACAGGGCTTCCCACTGGGAAAGAATAAACTTTCTTGCCATTTTGTTCACACTTCACAGGTACCGTCTCCTGGGATTAGATCATTGTTCTTTAGGAATTTGGGCACCCAGAATCGAGTCTGTGGCTTGCCTAAAATTTTAGCACTAATTCCCACTGTGGCCAAAGCACTGTTTTCCATGATTATCGCCTAATTGACTGTTACTAGCTGTTTTAGCTTGGCTCAATCACTAAAACTAATTGAACATGAATAAAATCAATTTTGAACTGTTCCCATTTAAGAACATAAAAACTGGCCTCGGAGGGATTGTTTCAAAAACAAGAATCAATTAATACCTATACTTCACTTGAATCACATCTAGTACATGACACTAAACGAAGACATTCATTCTTTAAAGTTACCATTGTTGCAGATTAAGAAAACTATTAACATTCAGTTTAGGAAAAAATGAAGATACCTTTCATTGTACACTTAAATGTTAATTAGGTATGGTGCCTTAACAGCTTTTATCTGTATTCATTAAAGATTATAAATAACATACAGCACATAAACAATATAATAATAGAAAATATGGCTATTGAAACTAATAATGAAAATAACTTCATCAATTCCAAGACGTTTGATACCTGCCACTTACTTGATAGCTGAATCAAATCTGTGCAAGAAATCTTAGATACCCAATTTTGTTGCTCTAGGAAATGTTTTAGATAACATTACCTGAACAGAATGTACAGTCCTCCCTTCTCTGCGGGGGATACATTCCAAGACCTCAGGATGCCTAAAACTGCTGATAGTTGAGAACCCGATACTCTTCCTATACCTACATGCCTATGATGATGATGTTTAACTTAAAAATTAGGCATACTAAGAAGTTAAGAACTAATAAAACAATTATAACAGTATATTGTAATAAAAGTTCTATGAATGTGGTCTCAAAATTTATTGTACTTCCTCTTTGTGATGTGAGATGATAAAATGCCCATGTGATGAGAAGTCTGGTGAATGACAGGCATTGTGATATAGTGTTAGGCTACTACTGACCTCCTGAGGATAGGTCAGAAAGGGGATCATGTACTTCTGGACCACAGTTGACCACAGGTAACTGAAACTGGAAAGCAAGCCATGAATAAGGGCATGCTACCATAGTAACTCTAACTCATGGTAAATAATATCCCAGAATCTTTAATTTGCTTCTGTTATCTATGCCAACAAGGATACATAAAAGAAGGTATAAAGGAAGTTTTTGTGAGAATTTATAAGAAAGTGATAATTATCTCTGGGAAATGGGGCTAGATTATTCAGAGGATGACACTACAGGGTTTTTTCTTTTTGTACCATGAGTATATTTTTATAGTAAACACAATGGGTTCTTATCCAATCACTCTCATCAGGTTATTATTAAGATTTTAAATCCATTATGTCCCAGTTGATTACTCTCCAGGATAAAATCTAAAGACTTGAATATATAAGAAGGCCCTGCATGAGTTCGTTGCTTCTTTACTCAGCCATATCTTCTAGTCATCACATGATTTTTCTTGATAATTCATAATTACTTTTTAAGTTTTGGATACTTAGTGTTAAAATTTGTGTTCTTAAGCAGTGACTGATAAATTCTTCTTACCAAGGTCAGGTTCATTGTAATAGAGAGGATGAGAAAGTCAGGTCAAATTACTGATCCCATCAAACACAGGGGTAGCAAGGATACATCCTGGTTTTGGCAAGATGGAATAGAAAACCCAATCTAGGGGCGCCTGGGTGGCTTAGTCGGTTAAGCGTCCGACTTTCGCTTAGGTCATGATCTCGCGGTTCGTGGGTTCGAGCCCCGCGTCGGGCTGTGTGCTGACTGTCAGCTCAGAGCCTGGAGCCTGTTTCAGTCTGTGACTCCCTCTCTCTCTGCCCCTCCCCTGCTCACGCTGTCTCTCTCTCTCCTAGAAATAAATAAAACATTAAAAAAAAAAAAAAAAGAAAACCCAATCTAAAAGCCCAGGAAAAAGATCACCAAGTTCTACCAACCAGAGATGTTTCTCTGTGTTGAACTTTTCGTTTTGACATACTCTAGGAAAGTTGTTAGGTTAACTTAAATTCAGTGTTTACATGAGAAAAAGTGTTTTAACTGTGTGATGTAACACACAGGAGAATCAACCTGGGGAAAAGAGACTTCATTTTTTATTTTTATTTGAAGGGAGACTTTATTAAGAATAAGAACAATAAGAATATTGGGCACAGAGATTGGTATCAGGAAGAATTTAATTTTGCTACTTTGCTAAGGAAATAAAGTTATTTTCATCTTCATAGTGAAAAGTCCTAAATAATGCAAAAACAAAGATGTTTAAGGGCATTATTAGTATTTTATTTAAAGAGATGAATATCACCACCTAAAAAAGTGTAAGTGCTTCTGAGAAGGGGAATTAGGAGGGTGGGCAGGAAACCATTGTTTAAAAAAAAAAAAAAAACTTATGGAATGGCTTTTGAAACAAAATGCATGTTCAATTTTGACAAAAAGATTAGCATATGGAGAAACAAAGTGGTGTAATCCGAGACAAGTTTGCCTTGGCCACTGTGGTAGACACAAATTAAGCAGATACCCAACCTAGAATTAATAGCAGGTGTTAGAAACCTCATGAGCACAAATGACAGAGGTTCAACTAAAAATGTCAATGTTACTAAACCAATGGCACCTTTCTTTTACAGATAAGGAAACTGACACACAAGGTTATATGGATCACTAAGGATAAGAGCCAAATATAGAAAATATGTTTTCCAGAGTTAGGTCCTATTTTGGATAGGACTGAGGGAAATTCATATTGGGCAAGAGAAATTATTTAAGATTGAAGAAGTGGCTGCAGTTTTTCCACTTCATGTGTCCAGTCCCTACCTGAGCCTGAAGTTTTTCTTTCATCTCTTGAATCTGGCCTGGCTTTGTGACTTGCTTTGACTAAAAGAATGTGGTGAAATGGACAGTGTGCCAACTACAGACATAATAAATGAAGTTTTAAGCCACTAAAAGGTGGCTGTTACATAGCAATTGCTGGTAGAGTTGTGTTTATATAAAAACCAGGTTAAAATAGGTCACAAAAGAATAAAAACTGAGATTTGAGATATAATAGAACTCAAGATTTCATGACACAAACTGGACCATTTAAAACAAATCCAAAGAGAACTACTGGCTGATACTGTGCTTAATATCCAAAGATTAATGTCTAGTGAGCTCACTACTGACCCTTAGTGGGAATACAGGTCTCCTAGGAATTAGAATTTTTAGGTCCAATTCAAGGACCTTAGGTATATGTGTCCACAAGAAAAGATCACATTCAGTGAGAAGACGAGGGATTTTGCTAGTTCGCAGTCCTTTAGGGATCCTTCTGAGTGGACACAGAATAGCCCAAAGGCTGATTCTCGTTCATTAGAAGGGGATCTCTTCAACCTTCATCAGCATTTTATTTCAGTCTTGGGACTGGAAATACCACCAGGAACCTGCCACTTAAACAACTGATTCTTTTGGACTGGGAATGAGGATTCAGACAACTCAGTCTGTCTCTAAAACACTCTGTAAAAACAGAGGGCACAGAAGTGGAATGCTGGAAAAACCCAAAATTATACAAATGGAATGAAACCAAATTCCTAAATTAACCAAACAACAACACAGACACACACACACACAATTTGTCCTCCAGTATGGCAGTATACCTGGGCAAAAAACCCAAAAGATTTAATTATAACTCTTAACTCCAACTCACGTCATTGTAAAGCAAAATTTTAAATGTGAATAGTGATTCATAGATTTGCTCTGCCGAATGGGTCCACTATTCTTAAGAGTTGCCAAATAGCTGTTCTGTTCGATGCCTATATTTTTGTGCCTGCATTTATATATGAAGTAAAATTATAAAGTAAAGACACAAATGACCTTTGGTTTTAGTACTTCAGATATATCAAATATTTAGGGGTGTGTGTGTCAAATGAAGAGAGTACATGCATCTGAGATCTGTAGAAGATGATGTACACTAGATCAAAGATGGCTGCTTAACTCAGTTGTTTGCAGTGTTGTTGTTTTTTTTAAGTAAAAAGTCTGATACCATTGACTACCTAGTTTTTCCCAGCCTCCAGTCTCAGCTGATTACTTATTCCCTCCCTAGTTCAGTGATTTGTTTTTAGTAATTAATAATTGAAGGAAGCCAATAGTCACTTATTCTGAATTAAACTTGTAGTTAGTAGTTTCAATTCAGTTTTTCCAAACCAACCAATGTAAAACTTCACATTTTCCAGAGGTGAGGAATAGAAGACTTTGTAGAAGCCATGCATAAAAAAAAAATTACTGCAAAGACCTAGTGGAAAAATGGAGAAAAGGTAAAAAATATGGATCACTTAAAAAATTGCATATGCATTAGAGTGAGTCTTAAAGGGGTAGATGTATACAAAGAAACATTAAAAAATAGTTTTAACAGTTATAAATATATTTTTCATTTGTGGAATGAAGAGTTTTATAGTCTAATCATAAACTCAAAATGCTAAATAGACATATTCCGTTACTTTATAGGGAAAGATTTCTAACAGCCAGAAACACTTAGCACCAAAAGGCTTTGGATATTATATTAAATCCTTCTGTTTTTATTTCATATTATATGACACAGGAAAAAGTAGGCTGCAAAAGGAATACTGCCGTAATATAATTAAGTATTTTTCATGTAGCTTAGTTGAAAACTATTTCAGTGTTTATGGAAAATATACTGTCTTTACTATTTCTCTATAAATACAACTTTTTCTATATTAAACAAAAATACTTACCACAGAACACCATACAAAATGGTAAAACTGGATAGATAAACCTGAATTCTTTGTGGCTCAACATGCTATAATAAAAAAAGATATTAAGAGAAAATATTATTTTCTCATACTACATGACAGTTTGAGAAATAATACATTCTGAATAAGAGATTTCTATTACCAATCCAACTAAGTCCTATTACTCAAATTTGGAATAAAGATATATACATTTTCATTGAAAAATATAATTTCTCTAGTCTTTCAATACTTAAAATTTTGGTAGTTTTAGTTTTTAGAAGTGAATAAAATGTTTTCAACTTCTTAAAAATTTATTGTAATCCCTGTCAAGTGAACTGAATATATCAGAAGTATTTATTCTAAGTATTAGCATAATTATTACCTTTTCTGTCTGCTAAATAATATTGCTAACAAATCTTAATAGTTAATACATCTCCAGAAGATAAGCAGTTGACTTTTTGAAGAATTTAGTTAATTTAATTTCTTGGTAGCATTAGAAAAATCTAATTTTTTAAAGAAATAAAATCTTACCTATAAACTAGCAGTGTCCACAGTATTGTTACCAAAAGTATTCGGTGCCTCTTTGGGGCTAGAAAGCAGCCATGAATAAAGAACGGTAAGTGAGTACCCAGGACAACTGGAAATCCTTGACTGAAGTACCAATGCCACGGATGAGAACCATAAAACGTTCCCAAATTCTGCAGCACGTTAAATTTCAAAAAATTATATTGAACCAGGGTCCACTGGCATAGTTGATGGAAAAAGAAATAGAAATGTATTAGTGTCAGATATGAATCTTTGGCATTAGACAATTTGGCAGAATCTTGACATTAAATCAGGAATGAAGAAAAAAAAGAGACAATAGTTTATGTTCACAATTTTGATTAATGACCACATGAAATCATTTTTTATTCACTTTTAAAATTCTAAGTTTTAATGTGTTCTGTTGATTTGTAAGCTAGGTTTCTGCAGTTCAAGAAAGTATGATTAAAGGCTGATATGTATTTTGATAATGTAAGTGTTACATGCAATAATAGGTAAAGATCCTCAAAAATAGTTTTTATATGAGTATGTGTTACTGATAAAAACTTTAGTCCTTATGATATCACACATTACTAAGATAAAGTTTGAAAACATTGCCATTTGAATTATAGCACAAAGCTATAACATCAATAGCAGTAGTTAACAGTAAGTTACCATTTCTGCCAGGCACTGTTGTAAGTAAGCAAGCCTTTACATGGATTATCTCATTTAACCCTTCAGCCTTAAGAGAAAATACCACAGTTATTTCCAGATAAGGAAATTAGCAAGAAAGGTACATAACTTATCTAAGGTCACGTAGCTAATAATGAGGGCACCAGCTTTCAGACTGGCATCTAATGCCAGAGCCCCTCAGTGACTTAAAATCAGAGAACTTAAAAACAACCAAAGGGGGGCGCCTGGGTGGCTCAGTTGGTAGGGCGTCCGACTTCGGCTTAGGTCATGATCTCACGGTTCATGGGTTCGAGCTCTGTGTCAGGCTCTATGCTGACAGCTACCTCAGAGCCTGGAGCCTGCTTCAGATTCTGTGTCTCCCTCTCTCTCTGACCCTCCCCTGCTCACACTGTCTCTGTCTCTCAGAAATAAATAAAACATTAAAAATTTTTAAAAAACAACAACCAAAGGCCATTACCAACAGTCATGACATTAAAATGTCAAACAAAATGCTTGAAGAATAGAGAATTTTTTGGATTAATTTTGAATTCTGATTAATGGGTTCAATTAAAGTCATTTAACCTTTATTGTTAACAAACCTGACTAAATTGTACAAACTTAACAAAAATGTCATAAAATGGACTTCTTTGAACTTCAACTAGGAATACAAAATTATGTTTTATAGAAAGCACAGCAAATTGAATGAAATGTATCCCATAGAATTTTTAAAAAGTGATTTGCCTGTGTTCCCAAATATTCACAGATTAAGAGGTCAGGTTAAGTTTTTAGTGTAATAAATGGTTAGATTAAATTAGTTTAATATATTTTTACTTACTTGACCAAAAAAAATACGATCAATTATCAGAGATAAACTTAAAGTGACAAATCTGAAAAACAAAACAGAAGAGTGATTAATACTCTGAACTTACTGAAAATCCAATATGGGCATATGGCTTTGCAAATACTTGGCATCAAAAGTCATTTTAAAAATGCTTTACAATTTTGTCAACTGAATATGGATTTACACATGTTGCAAGATCTTCCACTGATAGAAGCTGTATTTAAGGAAAGTTTCTAAAAGTAATAAACGCTGTAATATCTATTGCTGTACAACAAATTACCCCACAACCTGGCAACTTAAAACTGTGAACATTTATTATCTCACAGTATTATGCGTCAAGAATCCAAGTGGTGCTTAGCTGGTGTCTCTGGGGCAATGTCTCATGAATTGTCAAAATGCTGGCTGAGGCTAGCTGAGGCTAGAGTTTCATCTGAAAGCTTCACTGGTGCTGGTGCGGAAATCTGCTTCTTTGCTCGCTCACATGGCTGTTGGCAGGGATCAGTCTCCCTCACGTGACCTTCGTCTTAAGACTACCTCCTGACATGGAGATGGGCACCTCAGGGTGAACTAGCCAAGACAGAGTAAGGTGGGCACCCAACCTGGATGCCACAGTCCTTTTATAACCCAGTGTTGGAAGTGTCATCCCTTCTGCCACATTTCTCCTTGTCAGAATTGGGTCAAAATGTCCAGCACATGCACAAGGGAAGGGGATTACACAAGTGCATGAATATCAGGGGGATGGGATCAACAGGGGCCATCTCAGAGGCTGCCTACCATAAACATATACATAGAAAAGTACACTACGAGTATAAGCCTTCACAAATCATCACTATAGTAACACAGTGTGTAACTGTCCTACAGTTTACAGGATACGGAGCATTGGCAGTACTTCAAAAGGCTGCTGCTTCATCTTTCCAGCCAATCTCCTCTCTCCTCCCCAGGGTGACCACTATCCTGATTTCTGATAGTGTAGATGTTTTGCCTTAATTATTGAGTTTTACAAAAATGAAATCACACTATATGTATTCATGTCCAGTTTCCTTAATTATGTTTGAGATTAAGCCATGTTTTTTTTGTATATTGTAGTAGCCCATTCATTTATAACACTATATAGTATTCCACTGAATTAATATACCACAATGTATGTATTCTGTTGACAAACACTATGCTTCCCTTTTTTAACTTATGAACAGTTCTATGGATGTTCTTTTATCCACTTTTTGTTTCCCATATACATATATACATTTCTGCTGAGTATATATTTAGGATTGAAATTACTGGGCCCTAGGGTTTAAATGCAGTCAGCCTTAATAAATTCTTACAGTTTTCCAAAGTGGTTATATCAATTTATATTCCCACAGGAATATGTAAGGGCTCTATATCTTTTTAGGCCATTTGCGTAGATGTACACTAGTACATCATGATGGTTTTAATTTACATTTCCTTGATGACTAATGACCTTTATACTTCTTGGCCACTTAGATATCTTTTGAAATACCTGTTCAGGTCTTTTAATCAATTTCCTTTGTTATCTTACAGATTTATACAAGTTCTGTTGGTGTGTTTTATATTGCAATTTTTTTTTCTGGTCTGTGGCTTGCTTTTTCACTCTCAGTGGTTAATCTAATGAAAAAAGTCTTGAATCTTAATGTATTTAAATGTATTTATCTTTTCCTCTATAGTTAATACCTAACTGTATTCTATTTAGGAAATCTTAGCCGGCCTCAAGCTCATGAAGATATTTTATCATATCTTGAAGAAGTGCCACTCTTTTACCTTTACATTAAGATCTATAATTTCCTTGGATATTTATTTATTTGTTTGTTTATGGCAAGTAGGAATTAAAATTAATTTTTTCCCAAATGGAAATCCAGCTAGTTAAATATTTATTGGAAAAGATTATCCTTTCTCTACTGTAGCCTTATCACTGTTATCATAAATGAGTGACTATATGTGGGTCTGTTGCTGGACTATCATGTTCCACCATTCTATTTGTTTTACCTGGCACTAATTCTAAGTTGTCTTAATTACTGTAACTTTAGTGTAAGTCTTCCAACATTTCTATGATTCTTTTAGCTAATATTGGTATTTTGCATTCCACTGAAAAATTTAAAATCAGCTTTATCAATTCATACACCTACACATCGCATACTGGGATTTAGTTGGAATTGCACTGTAGATCGGAATTTAGGGAGAACTGATATCTTCAAAATATTGAGTCTTCCATCCATGAACATAGCATATATACTCTCTATTTATTTAGGTCTTCATTCGTTTCTCCCAAAGCTTTATAGCTTCCTGTGTAGAGTTCTTGTACACCTTTCATTACTTTATTCATAGACATCTGATGTTTTTTGATGCCACTGTAAATGATAGTTCTGTTTTCCTTTTTTTATTTTGACATAATTTCTGACTGAGAAAAGTTGCAAAATAGTATAAAGAATTACCATTTATACTTTACCTAGATTCTCCAAATGTTAACATTTTACCATATTTGCTTTATCTTTTTCTTTCTCTTCAAATAATGCATTTTTTCCCTGAACTGTTTAATTAAAGTTGCAGACATCATTCACCTTTATCCCTCTACTTTTAGTGGGTATTTCCTAAGAACAAGAAAATTCTCTTACATAAACCACAAATAATCAGAACCAGGAAATTAATATTAAATTTTTATGGCTATCTAATTTAGACTTTGTTCAGATTCTTTCAATTGGCTCAACAGTGTCCTTTATACAAAGAAAAAGAAAACCCTGATTATTTGCTGTATTCACTTGTGTCTCTATAGTCCCCTTTAACCTAGAATATTTCCTTAGTCTTATTATTCATGACTGGCATTTTTGAATACAGGTCAGTTATTTTCTAAAATGTATATCAATTTGGGTTTGCCTGATGTTTTCTCATAATTAGATTCAGGCTGTGCATTATGGTAGTAATACCACAGAAGTGTCAAGGTGTTTTCTCTGCTTCTAATCAGGAGTTTCATGATACTGATCTCTCCAATTACTGGCAATGTTAACTTTGATCACTTCCAAAAAATACATTTACTTATTTTTTTTTGAGTATTTTAAGTAATCTCTACAACCAACACGGGGCTCAAACCCACAACCCTGTGATCAAGAATTGCATGCTCCGTCGATTGAGCTAGCCTTGTGCCCCTTAACTTTGATTGCTTGATTAAAGAAGTATCTGTTAGGGGCGCCTGGGTGGCTTAGTCGGTTAAGCGTCCGACTTTCGCTCAGGTCATGATCTCGCGGTTCGTGGGTTCGAGCCCCGCGTCGGGCTCTGTGCTGACTGCCAGCTCAGAGCCTGGAGCCTGTTTCGTAGTCTGTCACTCCCTCTCTCTCTGACCCTCCCCTGCTCATGCTGTCTCTCTCTCTCCTAGAAATAAATAAAATATTTAAAAAAAAAAAAAAAAGAAGTATCTGTTAAGTTCTACTGTAAAATTATCTTTTGTAATTAATACATATTTTATGGGGAGATACATTGAGACTACATAAATTATCCTATTATTCCTCAAACTTCTACCCACTAGTTTTAGTATCCAAATGCAATCAATATTTCTATATTGACCTTGTATCCAGTGAGCATGGTGAATTTACTTACTAATCCTAATTGTTTATCTCTAGATTCTTTTGGATTTCCTACATATGGTCATGTCCTTTCCAACCATTTGTTTTTCTTGTCTTACTGCACTAGCTGGGACATATACTGTTAAACAGCAATGGAAAGAATGACCATCCATATATTGTCTCCAGTCTCCGGAAAAAGGGATTTCAGTGCTTCAACACTTTAGTGTGATTTTTCTAGAACATTTTATAGAAATCTTTTTCATGTTAATGAAGTTCCCTTCTGTTACACATTTTCTGATGGTTATTCCCATCATGAATAGGCTTTTAATTTTATCATATGGCTTTTCTGTGCCTATTAAAATAGTCACATGAATTTTCTCTTTATTCTGTTAATGTCATGACTCATACTGATTGTTTTTCAATACTAAGCTAGGCCTACTTCACATTCCTGGCCTAAAACCAATGTGGTTATCATGTATTCTCCTTGTTAATACATCGCTAGATTCTATTTGGTAAGATTTGTTTAGATTTTTGCATTCACAGTCATGAGAGAGAACTGATTTATAATTGACTTTTATTGTAATGTTCCTTGTCAGATTTTGGGATCAAGGGTATGGTACCTTCATTAAAGGAGTTGGGAATTTTTTTTTTCTATTCTGTGGAATAGTTTATGTGGATTGATGTTTCTTCATCTTTAAATATATGATAGCATTCACCAGTGAAGCCATCTGAACCTGGCGTTTCTTTGTTTTAAATTCTGAATTACAAATTCACTTTATTATATATAGTACTATTCATTTTTACTATTTCCTCTTTTGCCAGTTTTGGTAAGTTGTATTTTTCTAGGAATTTGTCTATTTCATCTAAGTTGTCAAATTTATTAGCAAAAAGTTCTTCATAATATCCTTTCCTTATCTCCTTAATGCCTGTATGATCTATAATGATGTCCCATACACTGTTTTGTCTTGCTAATTGTTGGTGAGAGAATGTGGCAGCTGAAAGACAACTGAAGTATGTTTGATTTTACAGAATGAATGACAAATGATATCCCAAATTCTCAAAGTCATGTAAAAGGCAAAAAGAAATAGGTCCATACATATTAGCATTTTTCCTAAGACTAAAGCAAGATTTTTCTCCATATTTAGAGATACTATTCCTGTCTGGATATGCAGTGTATTTTTGTTTGTTTTTTCTTTTCTTTTCTCAAAATAAATAGCCCTAGGTGCTTGAGGTTTTGGGTTTTAGTCCCAGTTCTGACCCTGATCAGGCAAAAGAGCTGCAGGTATCATTTTCTTCCCTGAACCTCCACTGCCTCATCTATAAAGTGGAGGTGTTTAGATTAGATGAATTTGTGTGTGTGTGTGTGTGTGTGTGTGTGTGTGTGTGTCTGTGTGTGTATTTTAAGGAAACTCTACCCCCACTGTGGGGCTTGAACTTATAACCCTAAGGTCAAGTTTCAAGCTCTACGGACTGAGCCAGCCAGCCACCCTGCAACTGGTTATTTTTTAAGGATGCATGAGGTACCTGGGTGGCTCGGTCAGGTTAGTGTCTGACTCTTGATTTCGACTTAGGTCATGATCTCATAGTTTGTGAGTTCGAGCCCCATGTCAGGCTCTGTGCTGACAGAATGGAGCCTGCTTGGGATTCTGTCCCTCTCCCTCTCTCTCAAAATAAATTTTTTAAAAATTAAAAAATATAAAGGGTGCTCAATACATAAAAGGCTGTTGGCTAGGGCCAACTCTATGTACTAAAACTTGAGAAGGTAAGACTAATTAGGACTGTGAATCATATTTGTCATGCACTGTATAATTTCAAAGCATTTTCACATTATCTCATTTGTTCTTTTCTATATTTCCCTTCAAAATAAACAAGACAAGCATCTGATCTATATGAATAGGCTCATTCAGGCCTCTACAGCTTGAAGCGGGCTGATTCCCTAGGCCTGGCAAACTCATGTTCATTTTTGATGTTATTTAAAACATTCCCTACTTTATAAATGTTTCCCTATATAATGTTTCCCCTGCAAGCAGAATTAGGCTTTTTATTATTTGTTTTCCTGTAACATTTGGTTATAGTAACTACTTAGAACACTTTATATTGCTGGTCAAGAATTACTGTTATATCTCTTCTTCCCCCACCAATTTTGACCTTGGGAGTAGATACCGCATCTTCCTCACTTCTGAATCATCAAATGCTTGACACAAAGCATCAATGCTTGTTGAACAAATAAACTATACATCATATTGCTGAGGAGAGAAAAAAAGGCTTTTTATCTCCCTGTATAAAAGCCTACATGATCTGAGCCTCTGCTGTCTCTCTGACCTCATTATCCTATTCTCCCAAACTCTTTTTTAGCTCAGTCTCACTGCTGTTCCTCAGAAATGTCAAATACACTGTTAGGTCAAGGTCTTTGCACTTGCTGGTCTCTTTGCCTGTAGTAGTCTTTCCTTATCTCATTATCTCAATTCCTTTAGGTTTTGGCTCCAAGGTCACCTTATCAAGGTGACCTTCCCCAGTTTACCCTATAAAAATAACAATGCTTCTGTCCTATACCAGCATACTATCCTTATCTCTTATTATTTTTCCCTATAGCATGTATTATCACTTGACAAATATACATTACTCATGTTTTCAATTGTCTTCTCTCACTAGAATATAAACTTCATGAAAGCAGGGTCTTTGTTAAGTTGCTATATCTCTGGCACCTCGGACAGTATCTGGCACATACTGGATTAAATAAGTATTTGCTGAATTAATGTAATACATTAAAAACAATGTTAATCTGAGAAATGGCAACAGTGGCAACTTGGCTTCCAGATGATTTGGCCCTATTTTTAACTCCTACCCAAAAATATTCATACATTGTGAATACTACTATATTAAAAAGATTACTGTTCTAAGAGTCAGAACACATTCAGCCCTTTCAATAAATAACTGTTAAGGAAACTCTACCGGATACTTGGGATCCGTAGGATGGTAGGAGCTCAAAATTAGATGACAGGGTTGTTTTGTTTTGTTTTTGCACAGGGGTCATGCTAATCTTCTTTGTATTGTTCCAATTTTAGTATAAAAATTTTTTAATGTTCTTTTCTGAGAGAGAGAGAAAGTGGGGGAGGGGCAGAGAGAGACAGACATACAGAATCCAAAGCAGGCTCCAGGCTCTGCACTGTCAGCACAGAGCCTAACTGCAAGATCATGAGCTGAGCTGAAGTCAGATGGTTAATCAACTGAGCCACCCAGGCACCCCCCAACTTTAATAGATATGCTGGTGAACTGAGCACAGATGACATGGGTTTCAATCCCACTTCTGTTACAGCTACCAACACAATGACTCTAACTCATTTTTAATTTCTCCTGTTTCCTCTACTACAAACAAAATTAGTCTGACAATTGTCATTGACATTAGAAGATATAATAATTGACTACAAATGTAAAATCTTGTTCATAATCTGTAATTTATAGGTTATTAAAATTAATAGATGGATTGCAGCCATACTTACCCTATAGGTAAAAACTGATACAGAATAAGATGAACCTTTCTCTGTTCTTGCCAGAAATGCCTGAAGACCAAAGGTATCCATGGAATGATAGCTGTGGGACGAATTATGAAGGCAAGTGCCACTAGGGATGAGTACTTGACACTATAAGCAAAGAAAATGTGTTGTAGGAAACAAGTTTAGAAGTGATCTACAATTTATGCTGTAATATAACATTTTTTTTTTAAATAAGCATTTTCCTTTCGGTATAAATAGCTATGTGAACTTGGGTACGTTACTTATACTTCCTGACTCTTTAATTTTTCTTATCCATTAAAAAAGGTAATATCTAAGGTCTTTTCCAGCTCTGATAACCTAATTCTAGTTCTTTAAGTTAAGAAGTTATTCTGTGTCTTAATGTTGGTCTTGTTTGCTGAAATGTATACCAACTTTTAGCTATACAACTCTGTCAATTGCTTTCATGATGGAAAAATGATCAAGTCTCTCTTAAGGAGATAAAGTCATATAAAACCATTCTCTTCAAAAATGCATTTAAGGAAACATTAGGATTATTTAGGCAATAATGGGCTTCTGAGTACATAATGATTTTGTTTTGAAAGTAAGCTAATTTCATCCTGATGAAAGATATGTATGTATAATTGATAAAAACCCTACTATATAAGCCTCTAAGAGCATGGATAGAAATGTGAATTTTTATTATTAGGACTTCTCTCAAAACCTGACTAACGGAGACTAATAATTTAATTGTGAGGACTACAGACAGTAGATTATTACATGGAAATAGACTTAGCCCTGGAAATAGACTTAGCCCTGCTTAAAATTTAAAGCAGGGAAAACAAAACAACTTTTTGGTACCTTTATATATCTATTAACTAATAAGTAGCTATAGAGAAATTTCTGATGTTGGTGAGAATATAAAAGCAGGGATTTCAAATTCAAATGCTTGCAGAGACCACATAAGTAATAAAAATGAGTGATGCAGACTGTGGGGAGGCTCTGATACCTGAAGGAATCCTGGCCCAAAATGTTGCTGGGCCTCTCATTTTTTCAAAATAAACCAGAAATCCAGATTTTATGCAAGATCTCGCAATTTTAAAATGTTGCCGAGTAGTTTCTTCAAAAAACAAAACAAAAACCACTGTGCAGGTGAATAAAACATAAGTTGGTTTGTTTTGCATACATCCTGATGCAACCTCTGCTTTAATGAAACTACCAACAGCATCCCCGGATATACAACTGTAGTCCTAACCTCACTCCAAACTTTCACACTGTATTTCTTACTTTTTTTCTGAGTATTTCTACACAGGTCTCTACTGGCACTCAAAATCAAAGTGTCTGAAATAAGCCCCAAACCTTCTCTGAAAATTGTTGAGTATCAATCACTCAGTTTCTCAGTCTTAAAATTTTAGAGGCCCTTAAATACCAGCATGTCACCCCACACATCCACTTTGTTTCCTTTCCATTCCTATAATTTTACTTCAAGTTCTGTCACTTGTCTGGAATATTTTCATAGTTGCTGTTTTCCTTCCTCCCTCCCTCCCTCCCTCCTTCCCTCCCTTCCTTTGTATTGCCCCCCAAATATTCCTTTACTTAATTAACATCATTGTCATCAGCAACATTTACTGAGCACTTACTTTGTAAGAGGCCCTGTGCTATATACTTTATATAGATTCTCACTGAATTCTAATGAGAGATGTTTTATTGTTATCATTTTATAGAAATCAGTGCTTAGGTATTCTCACACCATGCTTAAATCTTCCATTTATAGTAATTGCACTTTATTAAAAAATTTTTGGGGCGCCTGGGTGGCTCAGTCAGTTAAGCGGCTGACCTCGGCTCAGGTCATGATCTCACAGTTTGTGAGTTTGAGCCCCACGTGGGGCTCGGGGCTGACAGCTCAGAGCCTGAAGCCTGTATCTCCCTCTCTCTGCCTTCCCCTGCTCGTGCTCTGTCTCTCTCTCAAAAATAAATAAATGTTAAAATTAAAAAAAAAATTTTTTTAAGTTAATTTATTTTTGAGAGACAGAGAGGGAGGGAGAGAGAATGCCAAGCAGGGTCCACACTGTCAGTGAGGAGTCCCATGTGGGGCTCAAACTCCCCAACTGTGAGATCATGACCTGAGCCAAAGTTGGATGCCTAACCAACTGAGCCACCCAGGTGCCCCTAAAATAATTGCATTTTTAAAGGAGTTTGCAAAATGTCATATATTTCTAAGGCCAGGAGTAGTAACTGTTGTGTTCATCCAGGGAGGAATGCTTATACAGTGGTCATCTGTGCTACATGACCTTCCATTCTTGACTTAATCAGGGGAGGGCGTCTGAACCCTGGCAGCCAATCTAAGTCAGGCTAGTGTGAAACTATGTCCAAATAGGGATAATACATTTAGCAGACCTAATCAGATTTTCTCAAATTGAATGTATATAGAGTTGGACAGTTGGTAGTGAGGACAGAAATGGAAACTAGCTAAACTTAAAATTAGACAACTAAGACGGATTCACAGACTGGGCTATAAAGGCATAACAGAACAGACTTTTCCTCAAAACTACCTTGGATTCTACAAAATTCATTCATTTCATTTATGTGGCTGAGTATTCTATAATTTTATTCCATGGCTGGCTACAAGGTGCCTCTTTTCCTTATTTTTATTTTCAGCTTCATAATAAAGCTCTAGTGGTATAAGTAAACTTAACTGAATGCCTCTTCTTGCAGTCAAGAGTCTAATGCAGAAACTATCTTAGTTGATTTGATTTTCCCAACAACTTTTTTATATAGGAAAAATGGATACTAGTTTTTTAATCATATCAAATTCTGGCTTTCTCTCAGTATATCCTAAATACTGGTACCTCAAGAAAATTCTTTCTAAATCGGATTTGGCTATATCATGTTTTCAAAAGGCTTCAATATTCAATAGTTCCTTACAACCTACAGAATAAAGTCTAAATTCTGGAGAAGGGCAAAGTCCCATTTCTGTCTCATCCCTTATTCTTCTCTTCTCACTAGATAAGCGGGAACACTAGAGTGTGTGCTAGTATGGACAGCCTTCCCACAGTAAGATAAAACCCTTTTACAGCTCTGTGTTTTCCCTTTGCTTGGCATTTGTTTCCCCTGTTTATATAAGCCCAAATCAGTCCCATATATTTTCTTTAATTTACTTCTCAAAACTGAGTTATAGCTGATATACAGTATTATTAGTTTCAAGTGTACAATATAGTGATTTGACATTTATATATATTATAAAATGCTTACCACAATAAGCGAAGTTACCATCTGTTACCATACAAAGTTATTACAACACTACTGACTATATTCTCAATGCTATGCTTTATATCTTCATGACTTGTTTACTTTATAGATGGAAGTTTGTACTTCATAATCCCCTTCACATGTTTTGCCCATCCAGTCACCCCTCCTTCCATCTGGCAACCATGAGTTTGTCCCATGTATCTGTGAGTCTGTTTGTGTTAAGTTTGTTCATTTGGTTTTTTAGGTTCCACTTTTAAGTGAAATCATATGATATTTATCTTTCTCTATCCAACTTATCTCACTAATATTCTCTATGTCCATCCATGTTGTTGCAGATGGCAAGATTTCTTTCTTTTTTATGGCCAAGTAATATTGCTGTGTGTGTGTGTGTGTGTGTGTGTGTGTGCGCGCGCGCGCATGCCAAACCTTCTTTATCCGTTAATCTATTGATGGATCCTTAGGTTGCTTCCGTATCTTGCCTAGTAAATAATGCTGCAGTAAACATAGGTGTGCATATTAATGTTTTCATTTTCTTTGGATAAATACCCAGATGTGGAATTGCTGGACTATATGTGTGGTGTTTTATTTTTAATTTTCGGAGGAACTTCCATACTGTTTCCTATAGTGGCTGCAACAATTTACATTCCTGTCAACAGTGCATGAGGGATCCCTTTTCTCCAATCCAAGCCAGCACTTGTTATTTTTTGTCTATTTGATATAGTCATTCTGAAAGGTGTGAAGTGATACCTCATTGTGGTTTTGATTTGCATTTCCCTGATGGTTAGTTATGTTGAGCATCTTTCATGTGTTTCTTGCCCATCTATAGGTCTTCTTTGGGAAAATGTCTATTTAGGTCTTCTGCCCATTTCTTAATTCGATTTTTTTTAATTGTAGGAGTTCTTTATGTATTTTGGATATTAACCCCTTACAAGATACATCATTCGCAAATATCTTCTCCCATTCAGTAGGTTGCCTTTACATTTTGTTGATGGTTTCCTTTGGTGTGCAAAAAAGCTTTTTATTCCCACATAGTCCCAATAGCTTATTTTTGCTTTTGCTGCTCTTGCCTGGGGAGATAAATCTAAAAATACATTGCTAAAACTGGCATCCAAGAGTTTAAAACATGTTTTCTTTTGGGAGTTTTATGGTTTCAGGTCTTACATTTACGTCTTTAGTCTATTTTAAGTTTATTTTTTGGTATATGGTTTGAAAAAGATGGTCAAGTTTCAGTCTTTTCCATGTAACTATCAAGTTTTCCTAACACTACTTATTGAAGAGACTGTCTTTTCCCCATTGTATATTCTTGCCTAGCTTTGTCATAGATTAATTGACCACAGAAATGAGAGTTTATTTCTGGGCTTTCTATTCTTTTTTTCCTTTCTTTCTTAGAGAGAGCAAAATGGGGGAGGAACAGAGGGAGAGAGAGAATCTCAAGCAGGCTCCATGCCCAGTGCAGAGCCTGATACAGGGAGGCTCATGATCTGAGATGAAATCAAGTCAGATGCTTAATCTACTGAGCCACCCAGGCACTGGGCTCTCTATTCTGATCCACTGACCTGTGTTTTTATTTTGGTGCCAATACCACACTTTATTTAAAAAATAATAAAATAGTATAACTTTGTAGTATAGTTTGAAATCTGGGAGTGATACTTACTGCTTTGTTCTTTCTCAAGATTGCTTTGGCTATTCAGGGTTTTTTTTCTGTGGTTCCATACAAATTTTAGGGTTATTTTATTTCTGAGAAAAATGCTATTGCTTTGGGTAATATGAACATTTTAATAATATTCATTTTCCAGTTCATGAACAAGGTAGATTTTTCCATTTACTTGTGTCATCTTCAATTTCTTTCATGAATATCTTATAGTTTTAAGAGTACAGGTCTTTCACTTCCTTGGTTAAAT